GAGATGTGATAATATTATTGTGATTCTGTGTAAAAAGAGAGAGAGAGAGAGAGATAAAAACTTTTGTTAACTGTATGACCTTGGACACGTTCTTCACCTCTCTGTGCCTCGGTTTACCCATCTGTAAAAGGGGGTGACAATGGTGCTTACCTCACAGAATCGCTGGGAAAGTATATGAGATCATAGAGCACAACACAGTGGTGGCTGTTGGGTTTTTAGACTACACTCATTCTGATCTACAACCCTCTCCGGGTTGGACATCCCAGGGGACGTACCCCGGGTGGCTACTCAGAACAGCTGGCCTGGCCCATCCCCTCACCAGGGACCCAAGAGGAGCCAGGCCTCCATGATCACCAGGCTTTGCCCCTTTCCAGGGAGAGCAGGTGGGCAGGGAAGGGGCTTCAGCATCCGCAGGCAGATGCACCCAGCAGTGGTCAGGCAGAAGCCATGACTCACCCAGAGAGCGGGGAGGAGGAGGCCGAGCTGGGGATCCTGGGGGCTCTGAGCCGGGTCCCTGAGCTTGCCCTGCGTGCAGAGGGAGGTGGCAGAGCCTCCTGGTGGAAGGGAACAGGGCACCTGCACCTGCCTGGAGCCCAGCGGAAGAGCTCCATCCACGGCACTGCTGGTCCACAGGGGCCTCTGTGGAGGGACGTTATGCCCCCGATATGTAGCCTGCGCACAGGGCACAGCCTTCATGTGAATTGGAAACATGTCCCTTGTCTCCAGGTGAACACAGTGTGTTTGGGGAATGGGGAGCGAATGGTGTTTAGCCCCCAGTTGCCTCCTTGGCTGGACCCCCATGTGCAGTGGGCCACCTGCACAACCGCAGCGGTGGTCATGGGTCCCACTCAGCGTGCCTGCAAGCCCTGCCCGCAGGCGGTGCTGTGGGTACTAAGGTGTGTGGCTGTGTCAGGAACAGGCCAGGCTGAGAGACAGGGCCAGAGCTGCTGGGCAGAGACATGGCCGAACAAGAGTGAGGTGGCAGAGGAGGCACCTCAGCGAGAGAGCTGCTGCGGGTTTGGATCAGGACCTGCCACCGGAAGACCTCGCTTTGTGACGGGTTCTGC